TAAACAAAGTGAAGCGCAGGACGGGGTCCGGTGGATGGGAGGCAAGGAAACGCGGGGGGTTGCCACGTGCGCTACCGCCGCCGCCGCAGGCAGCACCCCTGCGGCGGCGGCAGCGGCAGCAAGCCGTGGACCCAAACGCCGTGCCGCCGCCGCCGTAGGCAGCACCCTGCGACGGCGGCGGCAGCAAGCCGTGGACCGAAACGCCGTGCCGCCGAGTCCCGTGGCTGTGGCCGTGGGCTTCTGGCAGGAAACTACGGCCGCAACTCGGCAGCACGGGGGCGTCGCAGCGTGCCCCCGCCGCCGCCGCGCTGCCCCCCGGGCACGGCGGCGGCGGCAGCAAGCTTGGGCCCAAACGCCGTGCCGCCGAGTCCCGTGGCTGCGACCGTAGACCGTGGGCCGGAAACTGCGGCCGCAGCTCGGCGGCACGTGGTTCTGTTCAAATCGCCAAGCGTGCAGCAGCGCCGAACCACGCTTCCCGGCCTCGGCGCATGCCTTCAGGGGCCCCCTATCGCTGGGCACACCCCTCCAACACCGAACATGCGCCCGGGGGGGAGGGCGGCCCGGGCTGCCCAGGCCAAAGTGGGCCGCCCTCGAGCAAGAGGCGGCCGGTCTGTGTGCTGAATGAATGAACCTGCTGCAGCCCCCACAAAGCTGTTTCGCTTTGGATTCCTGCTTGGTTGAGCGATTACCCCAGTCAAACTCCAATTGAGCAGCGCTGCAGCCCATGTGCATCAGGGGGAGACCATTGTGGGGGCGGAACGGGGCGCCGCCACGTCGACCTCATCAGCGCGATCGCCCCAGTACTGGTAGCTTGCGAGCAGTGCTTGCTTGCTTGAGATGGTTTAGAGTCCGTATGTTACCAAGATCAAGCTTGCAGCACAGGCCTTGTGTATATAGAATGGGTGAGACTGAAATGGCGGCGCTGACATGGTAGCATGCAAAGCAGCTGTCCTGTAAGGTACTTCAGCTGGGCTGGCCGCCTCCACACTGATGGTGGAGGCGGGCAAACTGGAATGCATGCTGTGATGGAGAGGTGCAGACAAGCAAAGGCGATAGTTGCATCCTGGGTGCTGGTGGCGGGTAGGACTCGCGCAGCGCAGGTGGCGGCTTGGCAGCGGCGGCAAAGATGGCGACGTGGGACGGAGGTTGGAGGAGGGAGCGGTGCGGCTGGCTGTCTGCCTTTCTCTCCCACCCATATGCACCCTTTACCCACGCACTTACAACGACGATTAGATGGTCTGAGCAGTGGGGAGGCAAACCCACACATGAGCAGGGAATTCCTTGAAGAGCTAGCAACGGCTGCGCAGAAGCCACGATCAATGGAAATAGGCAGGGAGCGCAATGAAAAGGGGCGAAATTGCAAGGGGCATTGTTTGCAAGGTCCGCTGTGGTCCTCAGGGCGAACACACACATGGGTGGGAGGTGGATGAGGATAGGTGTGGATGCAGGGTAGGCGGGTGGGCGGGATTGGGCACAGTCAAGGACAACCAAGCCCAACACAAGCACAATTTGCATTGCTACGGATACACGCTACGGAGGCATGCAAAGAACAGCCAATGCCAGCTCGACAAAACTAGGTCGCGCTTAAAGCGAGGCTGAACGGGGACAAGCCGTTGACGACAAGGACCGGCAAACTCGCTCAGCGCCTAAACCAGAGGATTCCGCTGCCGGGGGTGTCGGGTGCGACGTACCTGCGGGCAGCAGCCAAAGGCGGACGCCGTGATCCCCAGCACGTGACATGAAGAGAACCTCAGCTAAACACCGTGCTCATAATTTGCCACAGTACTGCTGCTGCCATCCTCGGACCGAGCACGCATGGGGTGCACCGCAATACGGCACAGGCACAGGCACCGCCATGCATGACGCGATGCATGCACGCTGACACATGCACCAGCGGTGCAAAACCACAGCCAGCGATCGAAACCCAAGCCAAGGAGCTGCCCGGCCCCGGGCGGCGCCGCACCTGCACATGCTATGGTCCTGCCACAGAGCCTTGAACCAGGGCCGGCTGTCGCTGCGGTAGTAGTCTCCCAGCAGGGGCTTGAGCGCGGCGGTCGCCTCCTGCAGGCCGGCAGCGAGCAGCAGCAGTTGTGCAGACTGCAAGCAGACGGCGCAGACTGCGCAGCACCAGCACCAGCAGCGGCAGCCGCGGCAGCCGCGGTGCTCGAGGTCGGGGCAGCCGCATGCGGGCGGCTCTGCGTGCGGCACACGCCCGCCGATACGAGGCACGCTGGCCGGGGCCGCCCGTCGCCCCGACCTTTGCAACATTCATGTGCACACACACACACACACACACACACACACTCGTGTCTTGCACACACACACTCGTGTCTTGCACGCACTTGTGTCTGTGTGCACGCGCGCGCACCTGTGCGTGGTAGTGCGGCATGGAGGAGAAGAGATGGTGCGCCACGTGCGTGTCGGCGATGTGGTGGTGCAGGCTGTTGAGCAGCCAGCCGTAGTCGCGGTCCACGGTGGCCAGGGCGCCGCGCAGCCAGTCCCACTCGTCGTCCGTGTAGTGAGGCAGCTCTGCGGGCGGGGATCGCGGCGGGGCGGCGCCACCCAGTGTGGGATGCTGTATGGGTGTGCGCTGGCGGCGCATGCAGGCGAGGTGGCACGAGGGTGGGGCGCGTGCGGCGGGGCACGAGGCGTCGCAGGTGAGGTGGCGAGGGCGGCGGCGCCGCCAGGGGCAGCCGCCGGAGCAGGCCTCCGCCTCGAGCGCGGCAGGCCCGCGCGCGGCGCCGCCCCACCTGGGTGCGTGTGCTGCAGCAGGGTGATGGTGACCAGCCAGAAGTTGACGATGAGGTAGGGCACGATGTAGGTCTTGGCCAGCCAGGCCCAGCCCATCGTCGCCGCCAGCTGCGCAGGGAAGGCAGGCAGGCACGTGGGGGTTATGGGCACGGTTGCGCCAAGAACAGCGGCCGGCGGCCAGCCCAGGGGCAGGGGAGCGGAACAGCCAGGGAGATAACGTTAACGCAGGACTGGAGATGTGCTGCGTGCAAGCGCTGCAGCATGGTGTGGTGCTGGGGCGTCCCCGGCGGCGCCGCACAGCTGGCGCCCCCCCTGCCGGCCCACCCACCTGACGCAGCCCGCACAGCACCGCCACCAGCGCCACGTCGCTCACAGCCACCTCCACGCGCTCGCGCTTGCTGCAGGGGGGGAGGAAGAGAAGCGCAGGCGGTGGGCCGGGGCAGCCGGGGCAAGCCGCAGCGGCAGCCAGACAGGTGTCAAACCGCGCCGCGGCCATCCCACCTCTGTTGTTAACACACTAAGCATGGCGTGCTGAGCACACCAGTCATTGCTGATTTTCCAGCACGCGGCCCTGCGGCCCTCACCTGAAGATGGGGCTCCAGGGATTGAAGTGGTTGACCCAGGCCTCGTCGTAATGGTGGGAGGAGAAGTTGAAGAGGAGGTACAGCGGCCAGCCGATGGTCAGCGTGCCCACCAGCCTGATCAGGCTGCACAGCGGGAGGGGAAGGGAGGGGAGGCGCAGAGCGGGGGCCAAGCACGGGTGTGAATGTGCAGGCGGTACCGGCGCAGCGCCGCAGAGCACAGCAAGCAGGAGTGCGAGAGGCTGCGTCGCGGCCGGGCGGGGCGCTGTTTGCTGCAGCCCGGCCAAGCAGCGTGTGCGGAAGCAGGGCGCGGCTGCAGGGCAGGCGGGGCGGCGCCGGGGCCCTGCTCACCGCACAGGGAAGGCTTGATCCAGCTCCCACTTGTCAGCCGCCTCCTCACGCGCATCCGGCACAAAGACCTGCAGGGTACAGGTGAGAGGGTGTGGGGCGGCTTAGGCGTGGAGCAGGGGGGCGGCAGGGCAGGACCGATGCGGCACGCACAGGTGGGAGGCGGGGCGGGGAGATGGTGCAGGCGCGGACAGGCAGGCCAAGGAGGGACGCGGGCCAGGCGTGCACCCATCCTCCCTCCAGCCTCCTGGCTAAGCCACACCCTCTCTCCACACACACACACACACACACACACACACATCCCCCCCCCCCCACACACACACACACAGGCACAGGCGCAGGCACGCACCTCGTCCTTGGCCAGGCTGCCCGTGTTGGAGTGGTGGCGGCGGTGGGAGTGCTTCCAGGAGTAGTAGGGCACCAGCAGGCAGGAGTGCACCGCCAGACCCACGCCGTCGTTCACGGCCTGGTAGTCGGAGAAGGCCTGGTGGCCGCACTCGTGGGCAATCACCTGCGCGCGGGGGAGGGGGAGGGGCTACTGAATACCCCCCTAAAGGATGGGCTGGTGGGTGGGGCGATCAAGCAAGGGAGTGGTCCTCCCCGGCGCGCTCCAGGGTGGGGTTTAGGGTTGCACCGACATGCCGGCGACCGGCGGCTGGCTTGCTGGTCGGTGGCTGGTGAGGGGCGCCACCTAGCTGCCAGCCACCAGGCGCATTCCTGAACCCTAAATGCAATCGCCCTCGCTCCCAGCACCAGCCCACCAGCGCTGAAGCAGCCCCGCTCACCCAGAGGCCGGTGGCCACGGCCCCGGCAAAGAACCAGTATGCGGGCCAGAGAGCCAGCCAGCGCACGGCGGCGGGCACGGGGGCGGCGTCTATGTGGGTGGAGGCGTAGACAAGGGCCGCCAGCATGGCCAGGTCTGCCAGCAGGTAGGCGGACGAGCGCCACAGGCTGCGCTGCCAGCAGTGCGCCGGAACCGCCTTGCGCAGCGTGCCCACAGAGAAGGCTGGCTTGGTCTCCACGGGCTGGCGCACCCAGCCAGCTCCTGCCTGCACCTGCTCCTGCACGCGCAGCGCGGAGGCGGCGGCGCCGGGCGGCGGGGTCGCGACTCGAAGGCGCGGGCAAGCTGGCGGCGGCGGCGCCCGTGGCGCTGCAACGCGGCTGGAGCCCAGGGCGCCGAGTTGGGACGTGCTGGTACCCTCCTGCCGCCTCACCTCGACCGCACGCCGCGTGAGCGCCATGGCGCCGGTGGCCCCTGCTCTCTCGCAGCCGCTTGGCTCAGAACCCCGGGGTGTGCCGGGGCGATGCCAGAATCTCTGCCCGAGCGTGGAGGGCAGGGACGAGAGAGGGGATAGGGTGCATGGTTGCCAGAAATGGGGTAAGAACGGGAAGAAGGCGCAGGAAAAAAATGCGCGCTGGCTTCCAACCTGCTCAGGCAATGCCCGCGGTGTATTTAATTTGAAGGAGGATGAACGGGCGCGGCAGGATGCAGAGCTGAGCGCTGCGCTACTTGTGCACCTAACAGCACAGCCCTACGCTCCCTCCAGACCTCGCCACACCTCCACAGCAGGATTAAGGGCATCGCCGATGGTCGGCAGGCCCACTGCCTTCTTCTGGGGTGTGTCAGTTCTCACGGCAGCCGGCATCTACGCCATCCACCTCACCCAGCTGGAAGAGCGAGAGGTGGGCAGCATTGTGGCATCGCACATGGGATCGCCAGACGCGCCGGGATGCCATACGGTGGCCTCTCAATTCCCGCCGCCGCCAAAGCTCATTTGCCTTATTTCCCTTTGCTCTCTCCTTCTGGCCGCAGAAGCTGCACAAAGGCGTGATTAGGGATGAGGCGATGTACAAGACAAAGAAGCAGCAGCTGCTAGCGGGGCAGCTGCGGCCGGCAGAAGGCAGCGGCCGATAGCGGCGCTCCTCGCTCGTCTTGTCTTTTGAAAGCCCAGGCAGCCGAGTGCTCCGATTCAGCTGCTTCCTGCTGACTTGGTAATCATGAAGGCTGTTGCTGGCTATTGCTGCATGTGCGCACATCACTTATGTTTTTTCCACCTCCTGGCTGCTCGATCTGCAACCTGGCTGCTGCCCTCCTCGTTAACTCTCACCCCTCCCGCTCAGAACTGCTACCTCTACTTACAACTGCTTTCATTTGAACCATGCATGTACTTTCGAGCAGCTGCTTGTTGCCAAGTGCTGGCTAGCGTCGCTGCAACAGTAACCGAAGCGATCGGAAGGGAGGGAGGGAATGTCAGGCTGAGAAGGAAGTGAAAGGATATGGAGGGTGCAGCAACTGCTGCAGGGACTGGTGGAAATGATACAAGGGCTGCTGAGACATAAGGCAGCAAGCCCAATGCCAATGAGAACGTCATGCATGCATTGCTGCACGCCAGCGGTCGCCGCCGCTATTGCAGGCCCAGCAGCTGGCGGAAGGTGGAGCTAGCCAGCAGCACATGCCGGTCTGCCAGCTCCCAAAGGATGCAGCTGCCGCTGCCCCGGCCGGCTCTGTCGCCGGGCGGGCTGCTCGCAGCGGCGGGCCGCAGGCGGCCGCAGAACACATACGGTGCGCTGCCGCCGCGGCAGAAGAGCAGCACCGAGGTCTGCAGCGGAGCCGGGCTGCTGCCCGCCACCTGCTGGCTGACTGGCTCGGAAGCGAGGGAGCCGCTGCCTCCTGCTGCTGGCTCGGGGCTGCCCTCGTCGCCAGCCCCTGCAGCAGCCAAGCCAGCGTCCGAGGCGGCCGGCACCGATGCGGCCGCTGTCGCATGCAGAGATGCTGCTGTGCCTGCTGCGTCTGCTGGCCCCGCTGTGCCTGCTGCCATCAGCCGCTGCACGGCGGGGTGCTCCAGGGTCTGCCCCCTGCCCGGCCACCAGCTGATGCACAGCCGCCAGCCCTCCTGCTGCAACCGCTGCTCCTCCTCTGCAGAACATCCTGTTGCCGCCACAGCGCGAGGGCTGGCACTTGGCACCAATGCTGCTGCTGCCGCGTCACCGCCTGCTCCATTGAACGGAGCTCCGGCTCCATCTGTCGCCGCAGCAGCACGCGGCGGCAGCCACGAGAACTCGTTTTGGTACCGCCCCGGTACCTGCCTGGCAGCTGCCGTTGCACCTGCTGCCTCTGGCAGGCTGACAAACAGGATGAATGCGTTGCGCCACTCCAGCAGCCCGCCGCAGCCGCGGGGGAAGCTGCAGGGGTCAGCGGGGACAGAAGCCGGAGCGGGGCGGCAGGCTGAGAGTGCGGCGCAACAACAGACACCTCCACCCCCTGCCCAGCCAACTGGACAAGTGTCCCTTCAGCTAGCCCGTCAGCCAGCCGCCGCCTCTGTCGGCGGCGCACCTGGGAGTGCGTCCCGACTCCGGCCTGCCGGTGTGTGCCGCCGCGGCGCGCACCACGGCCGCCTTGCCGCCCTGCGGCAGCTGCCTGCCCAGATACGAGGCCAGCAGGTACCCCAGGTTCACATCCAGCTGGCGGGTCTGCCAAACACGCTTGCCTCCCTCGTCCAGCCCCCGCCCCCGCCTCCCGCTGCCGCCAGCCGCGCCGCTCCGAGCCGCCGTCACGGCCGCCGCCGCCGCTGCGCCCGCCCCGGCCGCTGCGGCTGCTGGTGCGCCGCCTGCTGGGGTGGAACGCCGCCACATCTGTCAGGCGGCCTGCAGGCGGCCGGGCCGTGGCAGGCACAGGTGGATGGATGGCTGTTCGCCACCATTGCAAGTGCTCCCAGACTGCTCTGCCCGCCTTCCAAAGGACTGCACAATGGCCCCGGCCGGCTGGTCGGCTTGCCTGAGAACTGCGGCACCCAGAAGGGTGTATCCAGGCCCGGGTGCTGCCGGTGCAGCGAGGCGTGCAGCGCCACCAGCGCGTGAGCATCGGCGGCGGCGTACCGCACCTGCGCCGCCGTCAGCGGCCTGCACCGGGGCAGGCAGGCGGGGCGGCGGGGCTGTCGGCTGGCGCAGCAGGCTCGGAAGGCATGCGCGAGGCATGCGCGTGCACGTGTGCAACGATGGCAGGGCGCCGGGCAGCATGCACAGGTGGCGGCAGGTCTCCTCCCGCCACTGGGAACCAACTCGCCTCCTGCCCCAGTTGCTGCACTGCTCCGACTTGTCTAGCCCCTTGCCCAGCACCAGATCTGCAGGCACGCCAGAGCGGAGGGCAGCGCACCGACAGACCGTGAGCAGCGGCGGCAGGCGGCGGCGCAGCGCGCCAGCGGGATGCCAGACCGCAACCGAGACGCAGCCCGCTGGCTTTGGAGAGGCGGGAGCGGCATGCAGCGGCTGCGGCCGGCCGCACCTGCCAGCGAGCTGAGGCTGATGCGGCGGCGGGTGTGCGGCAGGCGGGCGCCCAGCGCGGTGCGTGCCAGCAGCAGCACATCCACATGGGACCTGCGGAGCAGGGAGGCGCTGCGCCTCGGTTAAAAGTGCGGGCAGGAGCGGCACAGCAGCGCAGGCGCACTGATCCACATGTGGATGTAGAGATGTACTGATGTAGAGATTTACTGATGTAGGGATGTGCTGATGTAGAGATGCGGATGCAGGGGCCGGGTGGAGGCCTGCCGCGCCAGCCGGGAGCGGGCGGCTTGAGCGCAGCTGGCGCACGCACCTCAGCGGCACCTCCCCCTGGCTGCCAAAGCAGGGCAGGTGCGGGTAGCTCTCGCACAGGCGGTCCAGGTCTGTGGCCAGCCCAAAGCCAGCTTTGACGATGCCCGCATCCCCAAACAGCCGAGCCAGCAGGACGCTGAGGCGCTGCTGCAGCGGCGGCAGTTGGGGAAGCCGCCGCTGCTGCCCTGCCGGCTGTGGCTGCCCCTGCAGCGCTGGGCCCACCACACCCCGCTCATCCTGCCGCTGCTGCTGCTGCTGCGATGCAGCAGCTGCCAGGGCAGGCGGGCCTGACGCCGGCGCCGCCTGCAAGGCAGGCACGCCGCCGCTGCTGCTGGGCACTGCGCTGCCGCCCTCACGGCTGCGCCCGTCGCCGCTTGCGTCGCTGCTGCTGCTGCCGCCGCCGCCGCAGAGGGCATGCATGTCGAGAAGGAACACCGAGTCTGGTGTGGCCAACTGCAGGCACGGCGGCACACGAGGGCCCAAAGGCGCCAGTTGGCAGGCTGGGCTTTAAGGTAAGCCAGGGCGGCAGGTGGTGATCCGGCAGCAGCATGGCAGCGGCAGGCACGCACACAGACGTGTGGAGGCTTGCCTGCAGCAGGCTGACGGGCGTGTGGGGGTCGCCGCGGCGGTACGGCACCCACTCGCAATCCATGCCCACCACCAGCCGGAAGCTGCTGCCAGGCAAGCTGTCGCCCAAGCTGGCGCCGCCGACGCCGCGTGCAAAGCCTCTGGGCTGCGCGGCGGGCCCCTCCCCAGGAGCAGCCCCGACCCCGTCGCTGGCGATGCCGCCGCCGTCCGAGGGCTCGGCTCCCGCAGCCTCGCTGGCACTGCTGCTGCTGCTGGGGCTGCTGGGGCTGCTGGGGCTGCCGCAGCCGCCAAACAGCGCTTGCTCCAGTTGGCGCAGCCCCGCATCGCACTCAACCACCACCACCCGCTCAGCCACCGCAGCCGGCATTTGGTAGCAGCCGAGCACCGCCGCGGCCGCAGCAGATACCTCAGCCTGGGTGGCGGCTCCGCTGTTGCCACCGCCGGCGGGAGGCGCCGGCACGGCTGGCGGCGCGGGCGGTGCTGGCGCTGCCGCCGGCCTGTCAAAGACCTGGATGTCGGACACAGCAACATCCAGCACATTCTCCCTGCACCACGGCATGCACAGCATGGCGCACTGCAGCGCGTGAGCAGCTGGGGGCAGGCGCCGAAGAAAGGACGCAGCGCGGAAGAAAGGGCGTAGCGCGGCCGCCTCAACGCGGGTCTTGCCACACCTCGGCGCCACCTGCCACCCACCTGGCCGAACCCGCCTCAGCGCCGCCGCCAGCCTTGCCCATGTGCTGCTGCACCCTCCCCGACACCCGCACGCCGCTCCCCACGCGCACGCCGTTCAGCAGCTCAGCGGCGGCCTCGCTGCAGGGAAGGGCGCAGGCAGAAAGAAACGCCGCCGATCCTTGCTGGCCGGTGCAGCGCAGCGTCCGCCAGCTGCCATGCCGGGCAGCATTCCCACACCACGGGCACGCAGCCGCCCTCCCACCCACCCGCCCAGCTTCTGCTCCAGCGTCTTTCCTAGAATCAGCTGCACCTCCGCCGCCGTCCCCGTCACCGGGTGGCGCCACAAGCGGCGCAGGGATGCAGCCGTGCCGGGCTGCACAGAGGGCGGCAAGGGACATGGGACCGAGGAGATTGAACTTATTGACGAGGTGGGGCAGGGCACAAGCCGGGCTGAGCTCCCACAAATTTCATCTCGTATCCCCCTCTTGGCACACGGTGCATGTTCCCAAGGTCAGAATCCCCTTCCCGGCTCACTTGGGTGGCAGCTGTGCCAGCGCCTGCAGCGGTGCTGCTCCCGCCCTCGGGCAGCTGGGCCGGCAGCGGCACCAGACTGACAAACATGAGCAGGCGGGCAATTTTGCGGCGCTGCGCCACCACCCCCTCCAGCACCACATCCACCTGCCCCGCCTGCCACGGCGCCGGCAGCGCCGCCGCGTCGGCCGCCGCCCGCTGCCCCGCTGCGCTGCCAACAGGCACGCTGGGCCTGCCGCCGCCGCTGCTGCCGCTGGGCCGGCTGCCGACAACGGCGATGTCGGCTACCGTGGCGCCCGTTGCTCGCAGCAGCTCCGGCACAGCGATCAGCACCTCGGCCTTGTCGCTGCCGCCGCCGGCGTAGCAGCTGTCAAAGGCTGGCACCGAGGCGTCCACGATGACTGGGAGGCGGGAGCGGTGGCCAAAGGGCGGCACGTTTCCGACCGTGTACCCACACAGCGGCACAAGGCTGGCGGCGGGAGCCAGCCGCACCCGGCTGCGCCCCGTGTGCAGCATGGAAGCCAGCCGCCGCTCGTCGACCCGCGCGGCCAGCGGCAGCACCAGCACCTGCCATGACAGCAGGGGAGGCGGGCGGCGTTGGGGGCGGAGGCGGTTGCGGGGAGCAACGTGCCTACGCCATGCAGCAGCAGGCCTGCCCACTGCATGCTGTGGTTCTCTGCTGTGCTCTCACACATAGCGGCCTCACCAGCGGGCGGCCGTCCACGACAAACACGAGTGACTTGACCTCGCAGCAGCCCGTTGGCGGCGGGGCGCCGTTGAGGGGAGGCACCACAGCCCCAGCAATGCTGTGCCGCTCCATGAAGCGCTGCAGGTCTGCCGTGCCCAGAGGGACATTCTCCTCCACTCCGTGGACTGCAGCGCCCATGGCTGGCTCCCGCTGCGCTGCAGCATCGGGCCCTGCCAGCGACGGCAGCGGCGGAGCACCAGCGGCGGCGGCGGCGACGGTGGGATTGTCCACTCCCGCCGCCGCTGCTGCTGCATGATTCGCAGCGACCCTCGGAAGTGCATGCCGACGGCAGCGGTGGCACGGAGCCCGCCTGCAGACAGGGTTCGCGGGGTTTGGTGCACCACAGTGAGCAGGCGGAGCCCTGTCCATTGCCACGCCATATATCAATTGATCGAAAGATCAATGAATCACCTGTCCAGGTCCCCAGCCTCCCTCCCGGCTGTAGGCCATGGTGGGGTCGCTGGCAGCGCTGCTCGGGCTGGGCCGAGCAGCAAGGCGGAAGCCATCGCCCTCCTCAAAGGATCAACTGCGAGGCTCAACAATACTTGCAGACCCTGCTGCGCCCGCTGCGCCCGCTGGCGTATGCTGGGCTTGCAGATTGACCAGTCTGGAGCTAACCCAGCAAGGATGCAGCTGTTCGATGAATGTCCCAGGACTACGCTGCCGCTTCATAGCTGGCTGGGGCGGAGCCTGCCTGCCGCTGCCACATGTAGGCCGTGACGAACGTTTTAGGCGTACAGGTCTGCAACCACATTCGTCACGCTCACGGCAGGATCTGGCCCATCTGTAAGGATATCCACCACCAGGTTGCCCTGTAGCAGGGGGAAGCCGGCAGGAGGAATCAGGGGGAGCAGGTTGAGCAGCAGGAGGCTGGTCAGCTGCTGTGCTGGTGACGCCGCCACGCAGCGGGAGGGTTGTGCAGCAGCAAGGCGCTGGAAGGCCGGCATCTGACGCCTCCGTGATGCTGTGCCGCTGTGCTGATGCAACCTCAGAACCCGCTGGAACGGTGAACAACGGCAAGAGCAGGTAGACGATCTCTCTGATCAGCGTGCGGATTCAGTCTGGGCGCTCTGCGATCGTTGCAAGGCTGGCGTCCAGGTGGCGGGAGGCAACGGAGGGCATCCGGGGGCTTCTTTTGGGCTCAAGTGTTGCTGACTGCCACTGTTCAGGTCATTATTGCCAACCCTGAGAACCGCTGCTCGAAGGGAGCACACTCTCCAGCCCGAGTCGGGCCTCGGGGCCCGCTGAGCTTTGAGTCCCGGCCATGCTCCCTCGACCCGCAACTCCCACAGAGTTTGAGAGCGAGGCCGCCAAAATTGAGTACTGGTTGCGGCGATGCGGAGAGTCGCTAGCTGCACATGACGCTGGTTTTGCGCGCCTCGCCAAGATAGATGCGAAAAAGAAGGCGTACGCGGACGCGCAGCGTGCTGCGGAGGAGCAGAAGGCCCGCTCAGCGGTCTTCCAGGAGGCGCAGCGCGCGGCGGCGAGAGTAGCCCGGAGGCCGCCCCACGGTGAGTTGATGTGGGGGGCTGCCGTGGCTTGATTGTTGTAATATGGCAGTGGCACGGCCCATACTCACTGTGCGCATTGACTGGCGTCACGGTGTTTAGCCTAGGGGCTTGCTCCTATGTGCATTTAGGGGCTTGCTCCTACGTGCACATCTGAAAACTGCCAGCGCTTGCCGGCCACCTGCCGCCCCGCCTGCAGCCGTCGACGAGCGCAAGAAAAAGCTGGGGCAGCAATGGGGATCCAGCCACCCCCTATTGCGCGTTTTCCTTGCACAGAGCTTCCCACTGTCTGTCCCTGCGTGCCGTGTCGCGTACAGCCGTCGAGCAACAGCACCCGGTTAAAGCGGAGCCTGCCAGCGCTGCTGCTGCCACTGCCACATGTAGGCCGTTACAAACAGGCATGCCTGTGCTGCCCATAACTCACGAGCCACACCTAGTTGTCCCTAATCACCGCTGCGATGCGCTGGCGCAGCTGTGCTACCACCTGCGGATTGGCTGCCGCCCACGCCGCCACACCCGCCGTCGCAGCCTCTGTCGCAGCGCAGCTGCCGCTGCCGCCGCCGCCGCCGCGTGCCCTGCCGCGGCTGGCCGCCAGCGTCGCGCCGTCGCGCCGGGCTTGTGGCGCTGAATGGCGCAGCACTCGTCGCCGCCAGCGTTCCACAACCGCACTTCGGCATTTGCCCTGTCCAGCCACACATTGCTGCAGGTCCGGAAGCAAATTCATGAGGGTGAGCGGCGATGCAGGGTCGCTGCACAGCACATGGCACTGACAGCGTGGATTGCAGGTACGCCATGCCATCCCATCCGCTCACCTGAGCGTGAAGATGCTGCCTGGATCGCTCGCAGGGTCCAGCCAGTCCACCTCAGCAGGCCGCGCCACCAGCTGCACCGCCAGCAGCCAGGGAGGGTGCTGCGGCAAGCCTGGCAGGCTCGTCGCCTCCTGCTGCTGCTGCTGCTGCTGCTGCTGCTGCTGCCACTGCTGTTGCTGCGGTGCCTGCTGAGGACCACCAGCCGCCTCCGTTGGCCCTGCTTGCAGCGGGCCAGCCTCGCCGGCCAGGACAGCAGCAAAGGCTGCGCGCACCAGCGCTGCCGCCGCCGTCGTCGCCTCCTCATCTGTATCCTCGGCCACAGCAGATGTGGCTGGACTTGCTGGGGCTGGTGCCGGGGCTGGTGGGGCGGAGTGTGGAGGCTGCATGCAGCCTGCGTGGCCTGCAACCGGCACTAATGGCAGCGCTGGGTACCGCTGTTGCTGCTGCTCCTGCTGCTGCTGCTGCTCCTGGGCCACTGTGTGGTCAGCAAAGAACAGCCATTGGCAGGTGTTTCCACGCCGATCTGCACACGAGGGGCAGGGCAAACACCGTGGCTCAGTCTGGCGCAGTACAGGGGGCAGCAGCACTGCAGGCAGTGGCATGCTAGCAGGCATGCTGGAAAGCAGGCACGCAAGACCGAGATGCAGTCTCACCAAGGTGGGTGGGGCTGGCGCCCAGCAGCAGGCCAGTGAAGTCAAACAAGCCGGCCGTGGGGCCAGCGCACAGCTGCGCCAGGCTCAGCTGCACCCGAGGCTGCAGCAGGGAGGGGGGCCGGGGACGGTCGTTCTGGGCTGGCGGGGAGGCGTGGAGTCCCAGCGTGAGCTGGACCGCCGAAACAAATGCAGCATGAATAGCGTGCGCCAGCAGCTGCCAGTCAAGCAACACCGGCATCCACCTACAACAAAGCAGATTCATACATGGCAGCCGGGCGGACCACCTGCGGCCTGCACAGCAGCTCGGGTGGCAGCGCCTCCGCTGCTGCCGCATACTCGGTGAATCGGGTGTGCTTGCTGCTCTTCAGCTCCAGGCAGGCGGGCCCCCTGCACAGCGCGGTGCGTCAAGCAGTGAGGGCCAGGCGCAGCGAGCGGTCCTACCCTTCAAAGGTGGGTGGCTGGGACATGAAAGCGCCCTGCTGCCAGCTGGACGGAGGAGGTCTGCCCAGGCACCCCTCCAGCCACTCCCCACAAAAGCCATCCAACCCAGCCAGCCAGCCAGCCGACCAGACAGACAGCCTGCTCGCCGCACCTCCTCTTCTTGAAGGGCTGAGCCGCCAGGTGCGACACGCGGTACACGCCGCCCTCAGCCACCTGCTCCGCCAGCTCCTCGGCAGAGCCCCAGTGCCTGCGGCACAACAGAGCAGCCGCAGGTCAGCACAGCCGCAAGAGACAGCCGGAGTGGGCAACAAGCAAAGGTGGGAGACGGGCTGGCAGCCACTGCGCACGAACGTGTGTGGAGCAGCCACGCCGCGCGCGCGCGCCGCGCCACACGCCCACAGCGGCACTCACGTGATAGTGGCAATGGCAGGGCGCCAGGCCTGGCGGCCTCCTGGGCGGCAGTCGGCCACAGACGCATGCACCACCTCG